AGCAGGAAAAGGTAGTGAATTCAGGGGATGCTGCAACATGGGCCAGCCTTTAAAAACCATGCCAGACGGGGCCAGCAGGTGGCGTGGTACCTAAGGTGTTGAACTCCCACGTGGCTGACTGCGGTTCGCATCCTAGGCATGGCAGCTTGCTTTTGCTCTCTCTCCCTCTCTCTCTTTGTGTCTCTGGCAAGCACATGTGCCCAATAGCAAATTTAGAAATACTACTACTAATTCAAAAATAATAATGGTTAAAAAAGATACTATGCCAGAAGGGATCACCTGGGAGGCAGGGTGACGAGGAACGACAGTGGGACAGGGCTTCCCCTCGGCCAGTGAAAGTGTCCTGGGACCAAAGATGGTGGCCGCGCCCAGTGTGGGTGCGCGGGGTGGGCAGAGGGCCGCGTTCCAGAGCTTCCTTTTGTGGTACGTTAGTTTCACCTCCACTGTGGAAAGTACGGAGCAAGTGTGAGCCAGCAGGAAGCCGGACACCCAAGGCGAGGGTCCATGCGTGGCCCCGAGGCTGCAGACTCTCTGCACAGTGCAGGAGCTAGGGCTTGCCACCACCCCGGGTGCTCTTGTCATCCTCTCATGGTGTTTTGTTTTTTAGAATTATTTCATTTTATTCATTATTATGATGTTTAAAAATTTGCCATAGGACACATGTGCTCACCAGAAGGAAAGAGAGAGAAAGAGAGAAAGCAAGCCACCAGGTACAGGACTCGAACCACAGATATGTGGGAGTCTAGTGCCCTAACTGCTGTGCCACCTGCTGGCCTATCTCTTCCTCCAGATGCCCCATGTCACCTGAGCCAAGGGGCACGTTTGACTGACAGGCGGAGCAGGCAGCCTGCCCTGGGCAGAACCAGCATCGCCAACGTCCAGCCCACGGAGCCAAGGGCCTGCCCACCTCAAGCCCCAGAAGGTCCCGGGACAGAGGAGCATTTATTCACCAGCAGGAGGAGAGCTGCACACCCTTCCCCCCAAGAAGAGCGTTCTGGTGCCCTGGCCCCGCCACTCAGCAAACCAGCAGGCAGCAAAGACTAAGAGCTCCTGGGGTGTGCAGCACCCTGCCTGAACTCTGAGCCAGCTGCTCTGCACAGAGCCCCACTTCCTCCTCCTGCACCCCGTCTCTGCCCGGCTTAGGGTCAGGGATTGAGAGCTCTCCTTGGGGCAACTTCAACATGAAGGTTTTAAAATTGCTATCAACTATTTCAAAACCGAACTGGGGACCTGAAGCCCTTGCTCCTTCAGTTGGCAAAACGAAGAAGGAGAACAAGCTGGAAGTCCTAGCCTCTGGCACTGGCAAAGCTGGGAGAGGCGGGTGGACGGAGGCACAGCCGTCCCGCGACAGTGGGAGCACGCGAGGAGCTGAGAGGGCACTTCCCGATGAAACTCCTCTACTGGGAACGTCCGAGGAAACTGAAAGGCAGGTTCACACCGGCTTCTGTTGAAGGGTTCACATTCACATCATGATTTGTAAAGGTGAATATTCAAGGACAACCGAAGTGCCGCAAAATGGAGGATGGCTGAAATAGCCCATGATGAGCTCCTGGGTGGGCTGAGGCTCACCGAGCGCTTGTCCCGGCTTTCTGCTCGGAGAGAGGGCCGTCCTGGCTCTGCCTTCCTCCTTCCCGTAACATGGTTCAATTTTCCATTTTCAAACGTATATATTCTCAAATAACACGTTTTAGCTGGAGCACAGCTCTGGTGGAGTGCATAGGGTGGTGCTGCTGCTTAGCAGGCTGAGACTGTGTGGGAGCCCCAGGTTTGAGTCCTGGCCCAGCCCAGAGGCCAAACATAGTCCCAGATCCTCCCAGGCCCAGCTCCTCTGTGGCCCAGCTCCTCTGTGACCAGCTCTTCTGTGGCCAGCTCTTCTGTGACCAGCTCTTCTGTGGGCCCAGCTCCTCTGTGGCCCAGCTCTTCTGTGACCAGCTCCTCTGTGGCCCAGCTCTTCTGTGACCAGCTCTTCTGTGGGCCCAGCTCCTCTGTGGCCCAGCTCTTCTGTGACCAGCT